CCCCAAAACCCCAAAACCCCAAAACCCCAAAACCCCAAAAATCTGTAAAAATTTTGAAATCAATTAATTTTTAAATAAAGTTGTTGTATTAATATGGAGAGGAGAAGGAAATCAGATGGGTAAGATAGGGTGGGGATGGGGAAAGGAGGCGAGAGTAGGGGGTTTTGAGGTGTCTAGGGCGGTTTATGGGGGCTTAGAGGTTGATTTAGGGAGAATGGGAGAGATTTTGAGAGATGGTGTTAAATTATCTGAGGTTTGAAAATTATTGGAAATTCATCTGGTTCCTCATTCTGTCAAGTCTCAATCCAAACATTCTCTTTTGTTAATCCTTCTAATGATTTTACTTATATTGGAGTAATAAATACTTTATTGCTCATAATTTGTACTACACTTACAACTTTGTCCTAACCAATCTTGTCTTGTAACCCAGAAATAACAAGATGAGCTCAATATTTAAGCTTTTAAAAATTATGAATTCTTAAGAATCCCAACTCCACATGTTCAAATTTCTGCTTTGTGAAATCTCTCTGGATCTAAAAGGCAATATAGCAGCTCACCTAAGCAAAGCTTAGTACAGAAGGACAAGTACAGACTCTGCTGTAAGAGCAAAAAGAACATTATCAAGATTCAGGGAGAGCCTCAGGCTGTAAGTCCCATTGAGGTTTACACAGATTTTAGGATACCAAGAAGTGCATGAGTTACCTTAAGATGTGAACTTTCTGCTCAACCGTGCATCTGAGAAGGATCGACCCTCAGAACCCAGAGAAGGTGCTTACTAAGTCATGATTTGCTAAGAAAGAAATTGAGTATAAGCAACATGTAGATCTAGATATCAACCCAGTGGAGTATTATAAGATCATGCTTAAAGATGAGAAGCTTAAGCCCCAGATGAGGATCTTCAACCCAAATGTGATGTTTGATAACCTTCCTGACGTTTATTGATACTATTTTTATGACTGCAAGTCGGTCATACAACAAAGAATGCAGACGTTACATCTGGCTATGAATTACTATACACAGTGCTATACCAAGATGTGAATGATGGATACCAGGGAGATAGAGCTCCGGTACCCAAGGATCTGCCATTTTGTGAGGGCAAAGTCTGATATTGCACATATCTTAGTCCCAGCATGACTCCTCTTGGCATCAAAGTTTGATGAAATTGATTACAATCTTCCATCGTTCAACTATCTTAGAAGCTCGCAGAAGCTCAGTCAATTCTGGGTGGGATTCCAATGGGCGGATTATGTTGAATTCGAGAGAACCGTTATAGATCTTCTCAACTGGAATTGAGATCAGATGACTCCCTATCATTTCTTACAAACATTGATCAGCCAAGGAATTTTGCTAAGCCATGAGAGAGTCAGAAAGGAAAACAGTCCACAGAGTCCAATGTCCAAGCTAACGTGTAATGGATCTTGTAAGCTGCCAATAATAACTTCTAGTAACCATAAGGCATCCTTACGGTGGAAGAAGCAAAAGTGTCCGCAGAACGCCTGCTAATCAATCTTTCGCAACAGTTAGTAACGAAATATCATTAAATAAAATTAAATCAGGAGAAAAGGAAGAAATTAGCAGTTCTCAGAAAGAAGAAACTATCGCTGTTGACATTGAAACATGAAAGATGGTCAGAGAAACAGCTGAGTATTACTGTCAAATGACCACATTGATCCCAGAGATGCAGAAATATGATGCTTCTTTAGTAGCAATTTGATGCGTCTTAGCTGCAAGGAAAGCCTGAAGGATCGAACCATTGTTTAGTAAAGAAATAGAGAACCTGTTCAGATTCTCTGAATATTCTGCTACTTTAACTACAGATTCTAAGATTCTACAGGATTGACTAAACCTTCTCTTGCTAAACCAAACATCCTTAAATATTTGAGGGGAGATACTAACAGAGAGCATCCTTGGTAAAATCCCTTCAGGTAGCCAAGATACTACACCTCAGAAGCAAGGCACTCATTGGGCTAGTACTGAAAAAGATGTCGTGATTCCTCTGAATAATTCGGAGATATTCACACCTAATAAGATTGCTGCTATTGAAGGGCGAAAGCCAGTCAAGATTGAGTTAGAGGCTCAACAAATCATTCTGGATGCACCTTGCTCTGACTTGTCCATACAAGACCAAAGCTACAATCTTGAGCAATTTAAAGAACCAGCAAGCTATGACGACATCTTTGCTATAGACGAAAGAGTAAATTCTTGGTCTTAAATATAGAAATCTGAAATGCGACTAGACATTGCTGAAGACCCCAATCAAACCCAAGAGAAGAGGAAAACTAGAAGAAATCATTTGAACAACATTGATGAGATGATGGAGAGAATAGATCATCTCAGGGTACAGAAAGACCAAAGCAACTTACGCTTGAAAAGGGCAGCATCATATACTCGACTCAGGAGTTCCTATCCTAAGTCAAAATCAATGATGAAGCGGCAGAATGCAGCTGGCACAAGGAATGCTTATGCAGATTCTCGTGTTGAGGATAGGATACGCTCTATCAGTCCTGATAAGGTTTATCCTCAGACAAACCCTTCTCAAGGAAACATTGTCTCAAGAATTTCAGATCATAAGCAAAAATATGAAGGAAAAATAATGAAAGTGTTTGAATTGAAAAAGGCAAGCAGCATTAAGACAGCAGACCAGTCACCTCCTTTTAATATGGCAGATGCTAGGAAGGAATATGAAACAACAGTTGAGAATTCAAGCTCTGGGCTCCACCGAATGCGGAGCCTCCGTTACAAGAGTATCGTCAAAGAATCCAGTTGAGGTAGGAAATAAATTTTATCACGTCCAATACCGTTGGTTTAGACGATCTTAAGAAAACCCAGATTATGAGGAAGGAATCTGATAACAGTGGCAAAACCACTACTAGTGAGGGGTCTAACACTTATTATTCAAACTACAATGTGACCACTGGGAGTGAGTATTATCAGAGAAGAAAACAGCCAAGGCAAGCCAAGAAGTACCTGGATTTGCCAAAGGAGAACCCAACTCATCAGGAGAGAGACCCTGAAAGCGAGGATGAAGCTGATATTATTGCTAATGAGGAGATTAAGGAGCATGCTTCCCAGGAATCTCCCTTTAGGCAGCAGGTTCACGAGACAAAATCCAAGTTGAATTTAAAGAATATTAAGTTTGAAGAAGAGTTCCTAGCTGAAGCTAAAACACCAGATATGGCCATAATGGGAAAGGAGAAATCAGGTAAATCCGAGTTCCAGGAATTGGTTACTGCAGGCACAAGAAGCGACTCAAAGTAGGTTTTGATGAGATTTTTGAACTAAAAGTGTGATCGAAAGTTAGAATTAGGCAAATGTTTGACGTTTGAATAAAATTCTTAGATTTTTATTTGAATTTCTTTTTGTATAACTTATATTTGAAAATATTTCATAATTATTGTGAAATTTAAAATTCATGAAAGTGAATACCATAAAGAAATTTCAAATGGTTAAATAAAATTATTGCAAGCATTCAAAACCCCTATTTTTCATCTCCTTTTGCTCAAATAAAATATAAAATCTCTTCAGGCAAGCAACTGGGCATATAAGCCATCACTATCTTCAGCCTGAAATACAAGTATCTCACTTAAATTCCATAATCCCCAACCTTCCCTCTTGTACTGGCTCTATACGATCATTTCCAAAGGAGTCAACCAAATTCACTTCATCAGGCACAAAATCTGAATTTTCAAAAACTGATTCAGTGATAGAACGCAAAAGTCTTCTTCAAAAGAACAATCCAAGACATAGCTTACAGCCTACTACTGAGGAAGTAGTTGATTCCAGGCAGCTGAACTATGGCTTTGCGAAGCCAAGCCCAGCAGAGATGTCCACTAAGCCTTTAGCTCTCAGAAAAAGGAGCCGAAAGCCTTATGATCTTTATAGCCAAGGTCTTTATGAAGACACTTGTCAATCTGAAGGTAACATTTTGGGCTTAACTTCTTTAGATTACCCCAAAGACGGTCAATGGATGTTCTCGACTGGGAATCGGAACCCCAGAACTTTCCAACAGGAGGGGTACCAACGCACTACTAGGAGAGATCTAGGGTACAACAATGAGGGGTATAGGTATGATGAAGGATATGATGCACTTGGAGAGATCAGTCGTGTCCGAAGCCAGAGATATTATGAAAGAGATAATGATGCAAAGAGGTAAAATTTTAGCATTATATATAGGCACAAGGACTATATCAGCCCAAACCCAAGATTGATCCCTGACTTTAGTGAAGCGAAGCCTAATTCACCGAGAGATTATTACAACCTCAACATTCCTGCAAGGTAAGAAGATTGGTTAGCTAATATTGTCTGATTTTTAACAAGTCATAGAGTCAGGGATTACCCAGAATACGAGAAGCCGCCAGCCGTTGGCCAATATGAGCGGAAGAACACTTATGAAAGAGAGAGGGATTATAGGAATATATACTGGAGGAAATAAAAGCTCCCATCATGATTCTTAATATCTCATAAGAATTTCAAGCGTAGACCCCTCACAGGGGTTTTGGGGTTTTGGGGTTTTGGGGTTTTGGGGTTTTGGGG